TCCAAAATAAAATTTACTGCTGACTCGACACAAGATTGGGTCTAAAATAAAGTGCTCGGATATAGCCAGGTGACCACCAAGAACGGTCGAGCGGTGTTCCGTCCGGGGTTCCGTCCGGTGTTAGAAGGCCATTAGGAACCCTGTATAATTAGCTCAGGTATAAGAGTCGAGTCAGACGAAACTTCCCGATCTACGCTTCAGTACGTCACGACAGAGTTCAACAAGGTACAGCGAAGCCAGCAGAGTTCTTGCTACAACAGTTGATACATCATTATTACTTTTCTTTTGTTTTAATTTTGATTATTTTGAGTATGTTATTTGTTGACTGTTATTATTTTTAATGAATGCCTTTGTAGCGCTTGTGCTTTGGGGCAAACAAATATAACATAAAAATTGTTGAATTGTTATGGGGCGGTTCAGATATCCACGGCAGAACATTTGTACAGTCAGAGTTACATGCTGCCAATTGTACAGTATTAGCTATGATTTAATGAACATTAAAATGTTACGTTACTTTGGAGCCCTAAGTTATCAAGTTTAAGTTGATAGTGTCGTGTTGTGCAGTTTAGCAGAGAGTCTGGACAGTGAGAGTCTTTACACAATGTATTTGTTTAGGGCTAACTATGAAAACTATTGAAAATAAACAACGAAAGCTTTCAACTTACCATTAAGAATGAACCACCAAGACATGTTACCAGCAGGAGTGACGTGGTCACTGTATCTTTCTTATAAGGAAGACTCAAAGACTTGTCGTCACACCAGAACCCGTGGAAGTGGGGCTCCGCTACGGACCGGATGAGCAGGAGTGCTATACCTACTGTTGACAAGTCAGTCAAAGAAAACATTAATTTTTTAAAATATAAGCTAACATGGTAAGTGACGGTATTTTTTGTTAGCTATATGCACGCGCTATTTAAACCTCTTTTGTTCTTTCGTTTTATATTTTTCAGTTGTGCCTTCAGGTTTGAAGATCCTAGCCAAAACATTCAGCAGGAAAGCGGGGTGTGGGGTGGGCGGGGTGGCAGTGGTCAGGGTTAGAATCGAGGACCATCGAGATCACCAAACGACAGTCCAGAACGCACATAAAACAACCAGGCAACCATCCTTGGTAAAAAAAAAGGGGGGGGGGGGGTATTTGAAAGAAGTCTCCTTCATTTATAATGAGGCTTAAAACTGTCTACAAGAAACATTAGACAACTATTTTTATGTGTGTGTGTGTGCGGTATTTAAAAAAGGGCGATAAACGGTAAAGTAGGAGTGATCTTTTTTTTTTCTGCATTTCTCTCCCCTTTATTTTTATTTAAAATATAGAATATTTAGATATTTAGAATATCGAATACCAAGAAAAATATGTTCTCGTTCTCTATGCAAATACAAATTTATCTATTTTTTTTTTACTTTTTTAATGTAAAACGGCAAAACTAGACTTTTCCCAGTGTGGCCAACGATCTAGTATCTGTTAAATTTCCAAGAATCGTCAGGGTCATTTCCAAGAAACAGTAGTCCTATATATGAAGTCACAACTTGAATAGAGATATTGTAAAAAGGTGATAGATAAAAGTGTCTTTTAAAATACATGTACATACATAATGATTGTTATTTGATTGTTGTTATTTTTTTGTCCCTTTCAACCTTTGAGAATTTGGGGGGACACCATCATATTCTTGAACCTTGCTACGCTACGGCTTCGGTAGTAATTATAAATAAAAGCTATCATTAACTACTGAAGAACAGATTCCTCTTTGTTTTCCCCTATGAGAGAAGACTTCTATTTAGTTGATTTAATAAGAATCGGTCGGCCGGCGGCGTAGCATACGCCGCTATTTTGAGGGGGCGGTCTAAGGCCACTGCAACCTATGTGACCGCAGTGGGCCCCGCACTTTCATAGGATCCGCACTTACATAAAACCCGCGCTAATTCCAGGTGTATAAATTATTAAATTAAACCAGAAATAAGAGAGTGATCTTTCCTTTACTTCTTCTTCTCGTCGAAACTCTTGAGCGAAGAAGAGAATTATATATATGGATGTTTCACATGACTACGCAGAGCCAGTTGAGACCTGCTTATATTCCCTCATCTCGTGCAGACAAAGCCGTTGTCCACTGGCGGTTTATGTTAGTTTTCTTTCCGTCTTCTGCGCCTGTCTTCAATAAGGACTTTTTTTAAAAGTTAAAATACTGACATCAAATTTTACCAGTAAAAAGGGGAGTTAATTGTGACGCTGCTTTGCCTTTACTTTGTTAGATAAGATCTTTAAAAAATTGGAAACAGTTGACGTACTTACGTATAGCTAAGATTAAACAATCACAGAGAAACTGGACTGAGAGGACTGACGTTTTGGCTAGCATACCTGTAGAGACAAGACGTCCATTGCTATTGAGAACATTGGGAGGTCAATGTGGGTCTAAACACAGCACTAGAAATCACATCTACTCTTGACCTTCTAACAGTTCATGAATCTATAAGTGTCTCTACTTAGTCTTTGGATATGTTATGTCTCATCTTAAATTACAAACATTCTTTAAAATAAATAATTTCGCGTACCTAATGTATGCTCTACTGTTGATTATATATTTTGTGATTTATGAAGTTAACTGATTTATGAAGTAAACTAAGTCATTTTTTACAAAGCGTATATCAACTCTGTCAGTCTGTCTATCTGGTTAAATATTGTACACGTTAGTTCTCCACTTTCCATTCCTGAATCTAATTAAAACTTTGCATAATTATTCATTGAATCTGACAACATATGAATCAATAAAAAAACAAAACAATAACCAATGAATTTATTGTTGGCGATTACTTTGTTTCATATCGAAATGTATGAATCAATAAAAAAATAATAATAAATTACCAATTAATTAATCATTTAGTAGGCCTACTAATTAACTGATTTTGATTTATGGAACAGAAAGGGAGCTAAACCCTGTTATTTTCAGTAAATGGCAGCGATTAGATGTTCTTTCTCTTAGTTAAGCTTTGTATTTAAACAGTATTCTTTTTTTGTTGTTTGTATTGCTTGTTTTTCTTTCAACTTCTTCAGACCAAAAGGTTTTATGCACTATCAACACTTGGCTAGACAGAGTTGCATTATGTATTTAATCTAGAATATCGAACAAGAAATTTATTAGATGCTGGTAGGTAGGGTGCACGACGTAAATTCGATCCCCATAGTGGATCTTTTTTTTTTTTTTTTTTTTTTAATAAAGGTCCGATCCGATTCAATCAAAATCAATCTAATCAGATCCAATTCGATCCAAAAGAGAAATTTTAAACTCTCTTGTTTTTATGTTAGATCTACATCTAGTACATCTACTTGTTTATTCTTAACATTGTGCCTTAACCTACTTTCAGTTACTTTTGTATTTTTAAAATAAAAGATCATTTTGCTTTTTTTTTTAATTTAGATCTTCACTTTATGTGTAAATATTTTTATCAATAGATAGGCTATGTCGTACTTACTTTTATTGCACGGCGAAGATTCTTTATCAGAATTCTTAGTCACAGGAAGATCTGCCATGTTTGAAAGACAACCTAGAACTTGATAACATTTTTTAATCACAGACCTATATTTCTATGTATAAGATTTTCTTTTTCGCGCCATTTTTTGCCCTGCTGAATGAAAAATGAGCTTTATCATATATATTACAAACTTTACTTCAGAAAAGAAGATAATTATGTCCAATGTATTTCATGTGTCAATCTAGTCAAGCATGTTAATCAATGACTTTAATTCTGCCCTTACAAGGACGATAGAAGAAAGCTTCAACAAGCGTAGCACTATCCACACTTCCTTCCACAAAGGACCGTTATTTTGGTGAACACCTGTACTACTGATGCGGAACAGAGTAGGAATATGGGGGAATTACCCTAGTGTGTTGGGCCTCGCCTCTAACCCTCGCGTCTTGGATAAGAGTCATTGGTAATAGGGTTGTAAATAATGGACATCAGCTTGGAGACCTCCCAGACAGAGCAATAGTTGAGACAGGCCGATGTACGCTGGCTTCCGTGTGAACAGATTTCCAAGAGTCTGCGCTTCAACTCTTGCGACAATCCCAAAAATCTGAAGCAATCTGGAGACTTCTGACATATTTATCCGGAAATAATAATGACTTCATTAACAGAGCGCTGTAAACAAACATAATGTACGCTCAAGACGCTGTTGAATTGACAACCTAATCTAAAATAAAATGAAACGTTAAAATCTATGATTTAATTTGGCCAATCCTCTGCGCTTAAATATTTGACAGGGCATGAATAAGAAGGGTTTATCCTAGAATCGTACAAGAATGCCTTGAGACATCTTGAAATTTTCCAACAAAGTATATTGTGTTAAATCGCTTTATAAATCAATGGACATAGCCGGTGGGTAAATGTAAGTGTTTACATTATACATTCCACACGTTCCTTCAAACAACAAAAAACAAAAGGAAGATTAGTAGGCCTACGTCCTACATGTAGGCTATCTGTGAGTTAATCTTGTGGGCCAAATTCGCTAGGGTCCGAGAGAATCACGATCCTAAATGTTGACACAGAAGACGAGACAGTAGAACATATCCTGTACGACTGCAGGGTGCTCAGAAACACAATCGAAGATACGACTAGTCTTGGAACATCTTGTAACGTCTGTACTTTATAAGATAAGATAAGATAAGAAATAGAACTGGTTCATGCGGGGATCTTGCCCTTGTTAAGGAGACAGGCAGACAGACAGGCAAACCTTAAAGAACACTGCCAGGCATTTCTAGACCGTGGTGTAAGGGATTCATTCCAGCAAGGAGCCTTGGTGCGTGGCAGCTTACAAATGTGGGTCAAACGTAAATCTAATTAAGTTTCTTTCTTTATCTGATTCAGGCAACCCGCATTCACTGCTCTGTGGCGATTGGAAAGAGATCTTAGCCTTCCTATATGCATAATACAAAATTCGCTTTTGGTAAAATAAAAGGCGACATTTTAAATCAATCATAAATTCAAGAAAAAAAATAGAAGAACAACTAAATGACGGATATGAATTAAATGTTTTTATTTGCATTTCATTCATCCTAATAATTTGTTAATTTAATATTCTACTGTCTTGATCTAGGTGTGTTACAACAATAGTGGTATACATCTACTAGTCTAACACCGCTGGACGGTCATATATAATACATTATTTACACAGGAATGCTTGAAGTGTGTGGACATAAATTATTCACTAATACACAGGTGATGAACTTAGTCTCTAGTAACACATTGGCTGCTGTATTCAAAGCCAACAGTGAGGGGGGGGGGGGGGGGGTGTAGTTGGGAGCAGTCATAAACTGGACTTGGATGCATGCTGTTTAGTCTCGGAACAGCGTTTGTGTTTTTAGTTGTGGGAGCTAATGTGCTAAACCAAAAACTGATTTACATGTTGTATTAGTTTTACTGTTAATTGACATTAGGACAGCTTGGTGTTTCATTCAGGTATCAATTTTGGAATAGAGACCAATAGTACTATTTGATCTCCCTTTCCGAGTTCTAAGCCAAACATAGCCACTATTTCCGTACCCCACAATCAAATGTCTATGTAGCCCTCAATAAAAGAACCTTTTTTTCATGTATTTTCTATGCAATATTTCCTGGATAAAATAATATTCCATTTTCAATTAAGCACCCAATAATTACAGTAATGCAACAGCACAGAAACAGACACAATTTTTAGATTAAGAAAAATATTAAAAAAAAAAAACAAATTCCCCAAGAAACATGATACTCTTGTTGTGCTTGGTTTTGTTTTTTTGACTACAAAACTAACAAAATTTCTATTTCAATCAAACACAGGACAATATGAATTTCTTTAACCAGGTTTACTAAGATACGGTATCTTTATATGGTTAAATACTGTGTATCATATACATTCACTTAAAAATTGGTAAAATAGCCTCAGCTTTTGTGTGTGTGTGTGAGTGCGCGCATAGGTGTGTGGGGTGGTGGTGGCTGTGTACGAAGGTGCTCACTCCAACTACATCTACTACTAAATTGCCTACAAAAGTTCAAAGTACGAAATGGAAGTTGTTAAAACAACAAAACAAAATGGTCCATTTGTGGAGTTAATAAGTTCACATAGACCCAAGCCAACAGTTTTCAGAACTTTGGTGTGGACTTTCAGTTGGCCAAAATCAGTCTTGCACTCCCCAAATCACAAACACCACTGTTCTCTGTATTTACTACAGGGAATACTTGGTACAAACTGGTATCCAGTAGTCGTTTTGCACAGGTCACTTGTAAAACAAGCTCTTGTGATAACAATTATGTAGAAGTTTACGATTTCAACTAAATGTCAAAAACTTTTTTCAGACTTTGTTTAGAAATCCATCCTTCAGCCCTTGCACATTACCGTTCTTATAGATGTTGTTGATGACCAACCGTTCTGGCCTTAACAGCGGTGTTGGGGTCTGTGGCTCAGATTCTATGGACGTTGCTCTTGGCAACCGTGGTGGGCTACTAGTTAGAGCTCCTGGGATCAGCCTCCAGCCAATTTTAAAGAACTGTTGGAATACAAAATATTGTACAATGTTAAATGAAGTTGATAATGAGGTGATGATACAGGGTTCAATATCAATGCCCCACATATCCATTTAAAAAATGATCCAAACATAGAAATAAATGAAAAATGTAATCAAAGAGATGAAATGCTGGGAGAAAGAAGAATTATTAACTTCAGTTTTTATTCATCCTATAAATTACAGTACAAGTTTAATTGGAAACATAAGAAAGGAACATCAATTTAAGTTTGTTTTTATGAATTGTATGACAGGGGATTTATTAGTGGTATAAGAAGTTCCAACTTTAATTTCCCAAACAAATGTCAGGTATCATAAGAGCTGAAGGCATCAAGGAACATTCTGTAAATCTCTCTCTAAGCTCCATGACAATTAGCTCATGCAATGTCACACTTTTATACCACATTATGCAAAATAAAATTGATTTCTGTGTCCCAAGTAATTTATTGACTTGTTGATCCACCATTGGTCCGAACTATAGATGTTTAAACTACGTTCAAGTCTAAGTCAATAATGTCTTATTGATTGACATGACATTTTAAAAGTACTAAAAATATAAAGATATAATTTATTTGAAAAGTTTCATACATCAGTTTATTGCCTTTCCAGTTGATGAGTAAAAATAAGATATGTTAAGCTTATATTTTATAGAAACAAAATTTACAATAAAAAGCTCTTTGTCACAAGGTGGACCAATAGCACAGCACTATCAGTTTCCTGTTAGTTACATAGTTAATCTATCCAGATGTAATGAAAATACATTTACCAGGAGACCAGCTGTGGTGGCGCCCAGCAAGCTTCCAGCGATGACGTCTGTGGAGAAATGCTTGTGGTCTGTCACCCTGGTGACACAGCATAGGGTGGCCATGAGCAGGAAGCCAACTTGCAGGGCAGGGCGCAGGAAATGTGAGACAGTGATGTTCATTCTGAGTTGAAGGTACAACTGTCAAACATAAATTTTAAATTGAGATAATAGCCTTACATGATTAGGATATAAGATAAATAGTTTGTCCATGTTTTAAACTGTATAAAAACTGTACACTTACTTAGAACAAAACTAGAAAAAGAATGTGACTAACCACAACAAATATGGCACTGTAAACTGAGACTGACGCATGGCCTGATGGAAATGACATGTGACTGTCCTTAATTAACTTCTCATCTGCTAATGTGTTAGTACATTCATAGTCTTGAATATATCTGCACATAGAAATAGAAATCATTGAATAAAAACATATTTAGATTTAGATTTCATATACAAATTATAACTTTCTCTCATATCACACTGTTTCTCATATCACACTTTCTCTCATATCACACTGTTTCTCATTTCACACTGTTTCTCATATCACTTTTCTTGTATCACACTGTTTCTCATATCACAATCCCACTGTTTCCCATATCACACTGTTTCTCATATCACAATCACATTGTTTCTCAAAGCACAATCACACTGTTTCTCATATCACTTTTTCTTGTATCACACTGTTTCTCATATCACAATCACATTGTTTCTCAAAGCACAATCACACTGTTTCTCATATCACTTTTTCTTGTATCACACTGTTTCTCATATCACAATCACCCTGTTTCTCACATCACACTGTTTCTCAAATCACAATCACACTGTTTCTCAAATCACAATCACACTGTTTCTCAAATCACAATCACACTGTTTCTCCTGTTGGTCATGTCATAGTGCTTCATATAATTTTACTATCTTTTTGGATCATTGAATCGCATAACATCTTTTTATTTTTCTGTCTATGTAACATCTCTCACATAATTACAATCTACAATACAAATATATTGTAATCTGAATTGAGCTAGGCCACTCACTTAGCGACTCCGTATTCATCCGTACAGTTAAACTTGGTAAAGTCTGGCTTGCAAAGGTCAAGGAAGTGTGGCCGCAGTCGGCCAAAGGAATATTTGATGGTGTCCGTGAAAATGCAGTTAATGACCAATCCAAACAAGAAGAGACCAAAAGCTTTAGCGTAAATAAACATGGCGGTCCTCACACGCTGGGGCTGTCGTGTTTTGGCAGCTGCCCGAAAACCTTCACTGACAGCTATCTGCAAAGGTTAGATGAAGAGACTTATAAAGGGATGTAATTGAAGCTTTAGTATGAATGTAATCTCTAGCAAGTCACAATAATACCAAGTCTTACATTCAATACAGCAACACTATTTAAAGCACCCATATGGCCCTATTAAAACAATTTAGAATTAGGTTTACTATGATCTGAAACTTTACATAATAATTTTTTGTATACTTATTTTTGTGTTAGATTGCTGCAAAGTGTAGTGCTACTCTTCGGATAGAAGATTTATGTAAATTAGGTGTTGGGTTAAAGATCTGTATCAGAAAAAGGTCACTAACTTTAAGGGTTTTTTTTTAATCACAAAAAAGGGAAGTAACTCTATTATTAGAATGTCAAGAATAGAATGTAAGGGTGGGAAAAAAAGCGATCCATGTTAAAGAAGCTGAATGGAAGATCGTCAAAAGTTTGTACCTGGCAAAAACATTAATGCTGGCTACTGCAGTAAACCAAATATAATGTCACAATCGCAGTTTAAATCACGTCAGGGGATTACACTTACCCTTCAGTGTCAATTTTTAAAAATTCAAACTTAGTAAATCAGCCAGACAAAGACTTGGCAGGTTTAAAGTCACTGATTAACACTCATACCTGCATTCTAAACAGTCCCACTCTCAGACCTAGCGATCTATCGGGCAGATGATATTGAGGCAATCTATTTCTTTAACAAACGGCCAACGAGTCAACTACCAAACCATTTACTTAAATCATTACAGCTAGATGGCCTCATGGGCAACCTAAAAGTCCCGATTTACAAATCACCAATCTCCACCGAGAATTGAACCCAGGACCCACGTTTCGGAAGCCGAGCGCCTAACCACTCAGCCACTACGCCCACCTGCACAACTAGATTGACATATGAATACGAGTTGGACGTAATTCTCTTATCTTTTGAAGAAATGTCTGTAATTTCTCTTATCTTATATACTAAAGACGTTACTTCAAAAAAAAAAGAAGATAATCTCTTATAGGTCCTTCAACTTAAAACTGATGAACAGAAATTGTATAGATAAAAACATCAACTCCTAAGTTGACTCCTATCTTTTTACTTACCACCACGAATGGAAATCCGACACTGACTATAAGAAGCAAAGCCTGAGAGACGGTGTCTGGTTTGTACGGCAGGGTCAGTGATTCGTCCTTGCAGAAAAAGCCAACGTTGACCGGCTCGGCCATGATGTGTACTATTAAAACTGGGACACATACTGTGATAGAAACAGAGCACATTTATTAGTCTTCTTTCATTTACAAATATAACTTAAATGCATAACAATTACATGAACTATATACAAGTTAAACCAGACATGCGCAACCCCCTTCGATTGTTTATATATATATATATATGTTTAGGAAGTCCCTTCAGAATAGATGTTTATTACATTGTAACCCTAGTCTCCCTTCTAGCAATATATCAAGCATGGCCGGCCTTAAGCATAGGCAAATTAGGCAGCTGCCTAGAGCCTCCGATTGATGGATCCCTCGCACAGGCTCATTGCAATTATTTAATGAAGAAATAGAGAACCTGTCCCCAGTGCTATTGTTGGAGTACACTAGGTTCTCAATAAATTGCGTCATTTTATTATTATTTTTTTTTTGCTGTTTATTATTTTTCTATTTCATTTAGAACCAGCACAATTCATTTTGCCGAGGGCCT